TTTAATTACATTACATTGCCTTGTTATTATTATTGCCTCACTAAGTCGATGACTTAGCGTGTGAGTGTTTCACACGTAGGATCCGAGGAATTAGACGAGACAGGTGAAGCAGCTTGACAGTATTACTCCTGCAACCATCAGATCAGAAGCAACTTAATCAGTAGGTTATTTTGTTATGTAAATGGCGGTTGGCATGTAATTAAAGGGTTAAGTTGTGTATGCTCTGAATATTTTGATAAACTTATATTACAGTATGTATATTATTGTATTTTCTTAATATAAATTCAAATATTTTACTATTATTTATTAAGAGTTGTGTTTTAAAGTCAATGTAGTATCTCTGACTCATATCCGGGTCGGGTATGGGTTGGGGGTGTTACAGTGTTGGTCTTCGATCATGAACTCAAGCAGTTGTGTATGTGAATTGACAATGGTTAAAAGAGATTTTGAATAGATTCAACTAATTTTTAGTTTCTTCGAATTCAAACCCGAAACCAGTTTGAGTATGAAAAAAATGTAGCTACATGAATCAATTAACATTTAATTATTATCTACTTTTAATTTATGTTAAGGTTTAAATTATTGAGTTACCTCCTTGGTTGGTTGAAGGCAGTGTTGGTATTCAATCTTGAGCTCAAACAATTATGTATGAGAATTGACAAAAGCTAAAAAAATCATGAACAAATTCAACTAATTTTTAATTTCTTCGAATTCAAACCTGAAACAGTTTGAGTATGAAAAAAAATGTAATCACATGAATCAAATAACATTAATTATTATCTACTTCTAATTTATGTTAGGGTTTAAATTATTGAGTTATCTCCTTGGTTAGTTAAAGGGAGTGTTGTTATTCAATCTTGAACTCAAGCAGTTGTGTATATGAATTGACAATGGTTAAAAAAGACTATGAACATATGTTACCTTTGTAATTACACCAAACTATTTAAAAAATTATATAATAGAATAAAATACACGTTTAATACCTCAATTATCACTTCTATTCTATTATAATCAATCAAATATTTTATCTCAAAATCATAACTCAATTATCAATTCTTTCTCCTTTAAAGAAAAACACGAATATTGTTCTAACATTAATCGTCAAAAATGTTTTTTTTTACATACTCAAGGTTTACCCTGCCTCCTATTTTTTAATGGTTGTTTAAGTTACTGTAAAAAAATTCTCTATTATGCAAAAATTTGTATCCCTATAATTTAATTATTTGATAAATTACACAAATAGTCATTAAATTAATTTGAAATGAATTTTTTATTATTAAAATTTGAAAAATTATAAAATTATCATTAAGCTTATAGAAATATTATAAAATGATCTATGCACGTTGTAAAATAATATTCATTATTATAAAAATGATATGTCATAATACAAAGTAACCTCAAAAATCTTAGATGAACGTAACGCTCTTACGCCTATATCTTCTATTCATATTTAAGTTATACCTATATTTTTACATGTTTTCATACAAGGCAAGAGAGTCCAAATGAGGTAACAAAATTATAAATGTGTTTCCCCAAACAATGAAAAAGAGTACTTTCTTTATAACTGCCTGCCTCCAACCTTGCATGCAATACAATTTCTCTCTTCTTACATAAGATATTGGTATATAAACATATTTACTCCAATATATATAAACATCTTTCAATTTTGTAATAAAAATAATATATAAAAAATATGAATAAAATATTAAGATATGAATATGTTTTAACTTAATTATATAAATCACAAACTTACCAAACTATAATAAATATATATATGCTTTGCTTTCTCTTTAAGCATCCGTTACTCTGCAACTTTTATCTTTGACATTTTCCTACACATCTCAATTTCTGCAGACCCTCTCACGTTACTTTGCTTTTCATACAAATAATATACGTGTATACACTGTGTATCTATCTATATATATATATATATATATATATATATATATGATTTTCATCCTTTAATCAAAATCAATCTTAATTGACATTTTCATTATGCAAAATCCAACAACCACAATTCCCTTCATTTGGATGGCTACCAGACAGATTATTTTAACCATTTTTATTTTGTTTCTGTTCCCTTTAAGCAATGCAGCTTTGTACAGAACCCGTGATTTAAGCGTCGGGAATAACAATATGGCGATGAACTCCAGCAAAGCTTCCTTCGGTTTTCTCACCAAAGGTGTTTCCATTCCTCCATCAGGTCCATCAGGGAGGCATAATGACCACACCGATGCTCATGGTTCGGGCGGTTCAGCTTCGGCCAAAGATGGTCTACGAGTCTAGCTCATATATATATGATTTGGTAAACATGGTTAAGCTTTCTGAACCTTCAAATATGAACTGTTTCTGTGTTTTTTGTTTTGTTTGCATGATAGATAAGTTAGTAATTTTCGTGTTATTGAGAACAAAACACATTATCAAGAGTTCCTCGTCTTCTTCTTCTTCTTTTTAAATTATATGGTAATGTTCAAGTTTTTAGTTTTTTTGTTTCTCCATGTTTTTGGGCTGAAAGATTAATGCAGATGCAAATTTGATTTTTTTAATCAGTTAATAAGATTACTTTCCTTTTAAATAATAACAATAATAATGGAGCGACCATAATCGAGCATGCATTAAAAGACCATCATTTCAATATGAATGTTGAATTAAGCAATGCTGAGATGGAATACCAACCCAAATTAGCTTGTAGGTTAGACAATAAAGGTAAACATCTCCCTATACTATACTTGGAATATTAACATAATTAAATCACTTGTATATACATGCATTTGTTAAAGACAAAATTTATTGAATATTTAAAGATTAAAAAGAATAAGGATCTTATTTAACTTGAGATTAGATTTAAAGTGTTATTATACTAAAAAAAATTAAGAGAAACAAACCCTTCTATCGTGTAAGCTGTAGACATTGATCATCCGTGCATGAATATATGAAATACATGAATGTTAATTCATGTATAAATGTACTTAACTTATGAATTGACATATTGAGATAAATGATCGGATGTCTGTTTAAAAAAAAAGAAATCAAATCGAATCGAATTGTGTATCTAATTAAATTTACAAAATAACTTTAATATATTTCATCAAATAATAGAAAATCATTCGATTTTAAAACGTTCTCATTAAAGGAATCTTTAGGATCAATTTTTTATTTACCTATAATTAATTTTAAACATATTAAATTTTATGTCAAATTACATATATTAAGATAAAATTCCAACAAATACTTAACCACATATATAAATGTATCACACATTTAAACCTTGACCTTAAAAATGCCCATTAACCATGTTTTATAAAACAATTTCCAAGAATAAATCCCTTCATTTCCACACTATAAAAACATTACAATATGAAGATATAAAAAGGAATTTCATGTAATAAAATTTAAGTTTAAAAATGCATATGGTTTTGTTGGAATTACATGGAGGTTCTTAAGATTTCTTGTTATCACTCCGGAGATTGTATTGTTAAAAACTTTGACGAGTTTAATTTATTCACTATTTAGGATATATCACTAATACTACACTAATTCTTCAACGTTGGTCAGTCTTTAATTTTATAAATTCTTAGTGCACAATAATACATAGGCGGTAGCGCCGACCATATATCATTCATGCAACAAAACTGATCATTTATCAATTAGGCAGTATAACCGATCATATATCAATCAGGCTACAAATTCAACCATATAATAAAACTAATACGAGTGCAGTAATAACTTAAAACAAACCAAGGCTTAACCAAGAAACTTAAGAGAAGAGAACACTTTTTATTAATACAAATTACAATTACAAAACTACACACTTATTCCACTACTTTTCTCTTCTCTACGTCTAAGGTCTCTTTCTTTAACTCACATTTATACTCTTTTCCCTCTTTTTACTCTTACTATAATGATAAAACTCATCGCTATTTATAGATTTTAGTGGTCATTGGATTGTTAACACATCTCAACAACTTAGCCAAATATCTAGATTATTTTAGTAGTTAATTAAAAATATAATATTAAATATTACAAATATCTAGATTATTTTATAAATATTTCTATACATCTATTATTTTCATATTATTCTAAAATATTCTTAATATATATATATACACACACTAAATGATACTTATAGATTTCCTAAAATTTGTATCGACTTTTAACAGGTGGCCTGCTACTTTAACTATCGCGGGGATAAAATCCTACAATGGCATTGGATAAGGTTGATTCTGCTGTGCTGCACTTTTAATTACAGTTGTGATTGGTCTTACAATGGTTCGGGTTATCAAGAGCTTGGCCGATTCATTAGGTAAGGACGGAAGATGGTGTTGAAAGATGAATTGAATTGGAAGTGGCGGTTGGTGACTGCTGCATTGGACGTATCTCTGCTTGAAACCGGAATGATCTCACTATTTGATTGGGTTATGGGCCTCTCAATTTACATGCAGAAATGGGGTGTCCATGTATTAGCTTGGGCCCTCCATCTGTTGTAGTATATCCCACTTACTCATCATCCCTCGTCCTCCTAACCTACAATGCCTCATCTGATCCCCATGCACGGGAACATCGCTCAAGTCCATGTGTCAGCCAACCAAGCAGAGGGGACCCTCCACTTTGGCCTATCAACACATTCACAAAAACACACCTCTTCTTATATTTTAATTAATAATTTATTTTATGTATATTTTAGTTGCTTCATATATTTATTATATTATGCATATTTTATCTTTTATTAAAGAGATTATATATCAACAAGAATAAAGTGTAATGATAAAATATATTACGTTGTTAAGAAAATATCTAAATATAAATTATAAAGACGATATTATTGAGAAAAACAATTAAAAATCCTGGATATAAATAATAGAATAATACATACAAGAAAAAGGAGGATCATATTATAGTAATAATAAAGTACAGTTATTAATTGCTTGACACAACCGCATGCTTGAATTGCAAAAGATGGTACATAGTTTCTATATTGAAAACAAGACAATTCAGTGGAGTTATAATCTAGGAGTGATTTGAACCTGCAAAGGATTCTGCATGACGGTTGTGAATTCATGTTTCTCAGTCAAATCCACGTCTTCATTTGCACACTCAAAATTAAAATGCCAGATTAAGTTTGCCAACAAGTACTCCAAATGAAGCATTGCAAGACGATACGCTGGACACATCCTTGTCCCTACACCAAATGGCATCATATTAATCTCTTTCGTTCCACTAAAATCGAATTCTTTTCTTCCATCACCGTCCCTAAAGAATCTCTCCGGGTCGAAAACCATCGGATTTTCCCATACGTCCCGATTCCGACCCATTTCCGATACCATAAACGTTACAATAGTGTTCTTTGGCACCAAAAAGCCACCCAGAACAACGTCTTTCGTCACACAACGTGGGATTAGGAAATGGGTAGGAGGATGAAGCCTTAAACTTTCTAAGATAACAGCTCTAAGGTATGGCATCTTACCCAAATGTTCATCCTTAATCTCCAGTACTTCTCCTTCTGAGATAACTCCTTTGATTTCCTCGAATAACTTGTCTTGAATTTGTGGGTGCTTCACCAAATTAGCCATTATCCATTCTAGAGCAGTGGAAGTAGTATCAGCGCCGGCGGTGAAGAACTCAGAGCACAATGTCACGATTTCTTGTTCTTCAAGCTTTCTTTTTTCCTCTATAAGATGCACATCAAACAATGTGTCGACGTAGGGGATGAAAGGCTCCGCACGACCATGTTCATCCCTCATTGCCTTTCTGGCTCTTATCAAAGGGACCAATACTTCCTCCTGATCAAGTCGAAGCCGACGAAGCTCTTGCCAACGCTTGCGAAAGAAGAACTTTCCCGAACTCGGAAACAGGTTGAGTAGTTTGAACCGATCGAAACTCGACTGCAAGCCTTGCTGCGTGTTCTTTATATCTTGAATTTTCTTGTCTTCAAGCTTCTCGCCGAAGCAAATGAAAGCAAACAAACTAAAGAGTGCATGTAGTAGATGCTCCCTTACTTGAATCGGTAGATGATGATGATATTCATTAGACTTAAGGCGATTGATGAGTGAATCCAAGACCCATTTACGTGCACACGAAAAGGATTTTCTGCGTGAAGAACTAATGATATTGGAAGTGAGATTACGGCGGAGCCGGAGCCATGTAGGGCCGTAGAATGCCAAGCTGATGTTGTGTTGATCACAGCTGAGGAATTTATCTGTGGCCGTCGCTTGGGGACGGTCGGCGAAGATGGCAGCGTTAGAAATCAAGGCTTGGCGAGCAACGGAGTGACTGGCAATAACGATTAAGGGCTTTGAGCCTATATAAAGGGTATAAATAGGACCATATCTTTCACGAAGGGCCTTAACGTGGGGCAATGGCTTTAGAAGGAGACATAGGTGGTTGCCAAATAATGGAATTGTGAGGGGGCCTGGAGGGAGCTGCGGAATTGTTTTCTTAATGTAAAGATTGAAGATTTTAACACAAAGAGTAGTAGAGATGATTAAGATAATGAAGAAACAAGCTCCCATGCTTCAAGAGGATTGCCAAACCCAACTATTTTGAGCTTCGACAATTAATGGAGTTCGATGGACATTTATAAGGAAGGTATGGACTTTTCCTATATCTTGTTTATAACATTCACATGGTTGAATTAAAATATTTTATATAAAATTATTTAATACGCAATATGTTTAAATTAAAATTTACATGAGCTTCTCTATTTTAAGGTTAGGGGACAATTAGATTTAGGGTTTAAAGTTTAAATTTTAAATTGTAGGAGTTAGAATTTAGATTTTAGGATTTAGGATTAGAATATATATTTTATTTAAAATAAATTTTATATCAAATAATAATCTAAAATATATCAATCATAATTTTATTTATAAATAATCTTGGAAGCCAAAATTGGAGAAGATTCGAGAGAGCCTAAATGATCAAAGGGACATTGCAACTGTGAAAGCACTACTTATGGGCAAGATAGAAAAGAGAGAACCATGTTTCAAGTAAGAAGGGTTGATGCAAGAAAAAACTTCTAACTTCATTGAATAAGGGTTTATGCAAGGGGCGTCCAACTCTGTAAACAAAAGAGAGTTGACGCATTTTAGAGTAAATGCGATCGAGGAGAAATCGAGGGAGGTGTATCTCAATCATGTTCTTAATGTTCTTCAGTTTTATTTGTCGTTTTTAATGTAGGTGGCTGAAGGTAGACCTAATCATCGTTGCGGGGTAGTCAAAGTTTAGAAGGGGCATGCGAGACCTTTTAGAATTCTAGGGAGTAAGCCGAAGGTTAATCTTTGGGTTATTATCTCATACACAAACAATATAAAATTTATTTTACACTATTTCTCTATTTTAGTCTTAAACCCTAAAATCTAAAATCACAACTCATTAATCATACAACTTGAAATATTAAATTGTAGTAAACCCTAAATTCATAAACCCTAAACCCTAATTAACTCATTTATAGTCAGGCTTGTGTAATCTCATAACCCTAAATTCTAAATAGGACTTCTATAATTAGATTTGTGTAGTATAAAGTTTACATAATCTGTGTGTAAGATTTTTTTCCTTAATCATTGAATTGTTATTTGACACATAGATTGTGTATTTCATACAATCTATCTATATAAATCCTGAAATCTAAACCTTTAACCTCTACACATTAAAAGCTTAACTCTAAATTTTAAATTATAAACTCTTAAAATAACAATAACGTAATAATTTTTAATCGAGTTAATATATACCCAAATCATCTAATTTAAGGACATTGAATTATCATTATACTTTAATCTAACCCAAATCATCTACATTGAATTTAACTCTAATTAAACATTTTATATCTTTAAAAAGTTAATTTTATTAAAATTTTAACAACCGCCACAATCAATAAGTTCACATTAAATAAATTTGTGACTTTAATTTCTCTATTTAAAATTATCATCAGTTTCTTTTGTTGAAAACTAAACCAATCCACCGAAAGGTGGAATTAAAATATCCACCGAAAATTTTTTGTCAAAAAGGGTTGGCTTTTGTTGAAAATCAATAATGGTAAAATCTCAATTTTAGTCATTGTAATTTAGGATATTTACAAATTAGTCCTTAAGCTTCAACTATAAATACCCTAGCTTATTTAGCTTCAAAACCATCCCAAAGGATTCTAGCTTTCTTCCAATACTAGAGAGAATTTAGAGAGTTTCTTGAGAGTTGTTTTCTCCTTTTTATCAAGAGAGAATTATCATTGTTTTCTCCTTGGGAGATCGAGAGAGGTTGTAATTCTTATTTTTCTCATAGTGAAATTCTTCTACCGTTGCCCGTGGTTTTTACCTTATATTATTTAGGGGTTTTCCACGTAAATTTTGTCTCTCTTTTATCTTCAATTTTTATTTTCTCAAATTATCAGTTGCATTTTTGCTCTATCCGATAGCCGTCTTCCGCAACAATTGGTATCAGAGCCAGATTTGAGTGTATAATATCTACTTATTATCATTGTGGTTGCCACCAAAAGGTGGATCCTCCAACATAAGAAAGTAAGAAGGTATTACCCATTCTTTGAAGGTTCCAGAGAACTATTCACGATAGTGAAATAGTGGGAGCTATCAATAAAAGAAGCTATGACAACGAAATTTGATATTGAAAAATTCAATGGGAGAAATTTCTCATTGTGGAAATTGAAGATGAAGGTCATCCTGAGGAAAGACGGTTGTCTAGCAGCTATCAGTGAAAGGCCGGTGGATTTCACAGATGACAACAAATGGATCGAAATGGACGGGAATGCTATGACAAACTTTCATCTAGCATTAGCAGATGAAGTATTGTCAAGCATCGAGGAGAAAAAGACAGCTAAGGAGATATGAGATCATCTCACCAAACTGTACGAGGCCACATCGTTGCACAATTAAAATTGTCCTTAAGAGAAAATTGTACACTCTCCGTATGCCAGAATCTACTTCAGTGACGGAGCACTTAAATACACTGAACACTTTATTTTCTCAGCTTATATCTTTAAGCTGTAAAATAGGAGAACAAGAACGTGCTGAACTTCTACTTCAAAGCCTACTGGATTCGTATGATCAACTCATCATCAACTTGACAAACAGTAATGTCACCAGTCTAGTTTTCGATGACGTTGCAGCTGCTGTTCTACAAGAAGAAAATCGGCGCAAGAACAAAGAAGACAGACAAGTAAATCTGCAACAAGCAGAAGCGTTAACAACGATGACAACGATGAGAGGGAGATCAACAGAACGTGACCAAAGCAACAGTCACAAACATGGTAGATCGAAGTCGAGAAGCAAGAAGAATTTAAAGTGCTACAACTGTGGAAAGAAGGGTCACTTGAAGAAGGCAGAAAAAGATTTGCAGATATATGGCTCATTGATTCAGGAGCAACATATCACATGACCTTAAGAAGAGAATGATTCCATCATTATGAACCTGTCTCAGGAGGATCTGTGTATAGTTGCAATGATCATGCCTTAGAGATCATTGGCGTTGGAACCATCAAATTGAAGATGTATGATGGAACAATTAAAGTTGTTCGAGATGTGTGGCACGTGAAAGACCTGAAGAAAAATTTATTATCCTACGGATTGTTGGATAATAATGCAAGCAAGATTGAAACACGGAAAGGAATCATGAAGGTGTTCCGTGGAGCGCTTGTGGTGCTGAAAGGTGAAAAGATAGCTGCAAACTTGTACATGCTGAAGGGAGAGACTTTGGTAGAAGCAGAAGCCTCTGTTGCCTCATGTAGTTAATATTCGGCAATGCTATGGCATCAGAAACTTGGACACATGTCAGAACAAGGAATGAAAGTCCTTGTGGAGCAAAAGCTACTTTCAGGCTTAACAAAGGTATCACTTACCTTGTGTGAGCATTGCATAACAAGTAAGCAGCACCAGTTGAAAATCAACACGTCAAATTCTAGAGCAAAAGTGTTTTAGAATTGGTTCACTCTGACGTATGGCAAGCACCAGTTACATCCCTAGGCGGAGCAAAATACTTTGTCTTATTTATTAATGACTACTCTAGGAGATGCTGGGTGTACCCTATTAAGAAGAAGTCAGATGTGTTTTCAACTTTCAAAAACTTCGAAGCGCGGGTGGAACTTGATTCTAGAAATAAGATCAAGTGTTTCAGAACAGATAATGGAGGAGAATACGCAAGCGAAAAATTTGATGACTTTTACAGGAAATAAGTCATCAAAAGACAGTTCACAGTGGCAAACACTCCTGAACAAAATGGAGTGGCAGAGCGGATGAACAGAACCTTGTTAGAGAGAACAAGAGCAATGTTGAGGGATGCAGGCCTAGAAAAATCATTCTGGGCAGAATCAGTCAATACTGCTTGTTATTTGGTGAATCGAGCTCCATCAACTGCAATAGAGCTGAAGACACCAATGGAGATGTGGACTGGTATACCAGCTGATTATTCAAACCTCCATATATTTGGAAGTATTGTGTACGTGATGTACAACTCCCAAGAAATCTCAAAACTAGATCCAAAATCCAAGAAATGCAAATTCTTGGGGTATGCTGATGGATTCAAGGGGTATCGCTTGTGGGATCCCACTGCCCGTAAAGTGATCATCAGCAGGGATGTTATATTTGTAGAAGATAAAATACAAAGAAAAGAAGACGATGATAGCGCTGAAAAGTTAGAGACTACACATATACATGTGGAAAAGGAGGTTGAACAAGGAGATTATTCTGAAATAGAACCAACACATGATGAACAAGAACCATAGAGTTCTGAAGCTCCAACAACTCGTCAATCAGATCGTGTGAGAAGACGTCCCAATTGGCACTCAGATTATGTTATAGAAGGTAATATTGCATACTGCCTTTTAACAGAGAACGGTGAGCCATCAACATACCAGGAGGCAATAAACAACTCAGATGCTTCACTATGGATGATGGCGATGCAAGAAGAAATTGAAGCCCTTCATAAAAATAATACATGGGACCTTGTGACACTACCACAAGGAAGGAAGCCAATTGGTAACAAATGCGACTTCAAAATCAAGCGAAATGGTGACGATCAAGTGGAGAGGTATCGTGCAAGACTGGTGGTCAAAGGATATGCTCAAAAAGAAGGTATTGATTTCAATGAAATATTTTCTCTTATGGTTCGACTAACAACAGTTCGAGTAGTTTTGGCAATGTGTGCTATATTGGACTTACATCTAGAGCAGCTAGATGTTAAAACAACTTTTCTTCATGGAAATCTTGAAGAAGAGATTTACATGCTCCAGCCTGAAGGTTTTGAAGAAAAAGAAAAGAAGAACTTGGTTTGCAGGTTGAACAAATCTCTGTACGGTCTAAAGCAGTCGTTGAGGTGTTGGTATAAGAGATTTGATTCCTTCATTATGTGCCTTGGATACAACAGACTTAATGCAGACCCTTATGCTTATTTCAAGAGGTTTGGTGATAACAATTTTGTTATATTGTTGTTGTATGTGGATGACATGTTAGTTGCAGGACCCAACAAAGATCATATTGAAGAATTGAAGGCACAACTAGCTAGGGAATTT